CTAGCACCATATCGAACCCGGTGTAAGTCTAGTAGCTAATTCAAACTATCGTCAATCCTGAAAAGAATCGGCGACAGGCCACATCAGGCCTATCCTTCAGCGCCGACATCACTATGCTATGCTATGCTATCAGATCCTAGCGCCAACTTGCTGCCAAGTCACCAACCACCGCACCACAATTTCTACAAAGCGTCTGTTCACTCAATAGCGGTGGAGAAATTGGTTGCTCAAAGGAGCACGTCATCACCGGGAGCAGATATTGACGGACAAAAATATCACCGTCATAAAATCATCGTAAACTATGATTTTGAGCTAATTTAACTCGAGTCGCTTTGAAAGATTAGCTTAAAAATGTTAACATAATAACAAAATTTCTAGTGACTTTCGGCTTGAGAAATTTTATTCAAACCGTCTGATACTCTGAACTTTACGAAATCCATTCAGGAAAAGAAATACAGACATTAAATTCATTTAGAGGCTTCGAGATTTTGAGAGTATACACCAGAATTCAATCATTCATAATATAACATAGTGATGTCCGCGCTGAAGAGTAGGCCTGATGTGACCTGTCGCCAAATCTTGTACCTTTCGTGACTTGATCACAGAAGATCTAATATTGTGTCCTTTGACCGGATCTTTGTGTTCAAGATATGGTTGTGCAGAAATATAAATCATAACTTCTTTTTTGGTGATCTGGGTAAATCCAATGGCTCACGAAAAGGCTTCCCTCTAAATTTTCCAAATGACCTGTGCATGTTCCCGGAGATGACCTTCGGTTAAAAAAATCAAGAATTGCATACATGTCCAACGCATTTCATGGCCTTTAATATCGTAGTTGCTAAACCTTAACTGAGAAAGTAACTGCTGGTGAAATCAGAAATTCACACACCTAAGCAATAGGATCCACGACAAACCAAAAAAAAAACAATTCTATAAAACAATCAATAATTTCATACAAGTTCAACCCATATCACCGCCTTTAATATCGTAGTTGCCAAGCCTTAACTGAGGAACTAACGGCTGGTGAAATCAGAAATTCGCACACCCAAGAACGTTGATCCACGACGAACCAAACAAAAACGTTTCAAGGGCATAATTTTAGTGTCATGAAATTTTTATTTCATTTTCTAATAAGATAAATTTAATCTTAATACATAACTCTACAACATGTTGTTGTTCGTTGCCGGGACCGCTGCTCGGTGACGTTCCCGCAGAGGAGGGGGAGTGCGATAGGCAGCTGAAGCAGTGATGGGTGGTGTGGTCCATATAGTGCCGCACTCAGGGCAGAGAGGGCTATTAGCTGCACCATGGTGCGGGCAAGGTATGAGTTGAGCTGAGATGAATAGCCAGAGTGGAGCAGACTGGAGCTGGGAAAGGGTGCTTCTGGCCGCCCTGGGGAGGGAAAGCTCGCTGGACGAGACGGAGGGGGCAGGGGGAAGCAACACTCTGTTAGGAGGTGCTGATGCCAGGTAAGAGGAGACAGCAGAGCTGTGCAGGGTCCTGAGGACGGTGGGGTAGGAGTCGGGGGGGGGGAGGGAACCCTCCTCCAGCAGGTGAGAGACTGAAGGGAGGAAGCGAGTCTGAAGCGTGTGCTTCATGGGACGGGGCCCTGATGTCTGGGTGACGATAGGGTAGCTGGGATGGTGCGGTCGTAGGGCACTGGCTAGGTATTGTGAGCAGAGCAGAGAGGTGTTCAGCCACGGGTAAGACCTGAGCTTCGCTGTGCAGATAGGAAGCGAAGGCCATTTGGAGAGATCCCGTGGCTATGCGGAGGGCTGAGTTCTGAATAGTTTGCACCTTAGAGATTGACGAAGGAGAGGCGTTGGGGAACCACGCTGGGGCAGCGTAGGTGAAGAGGGACTTAATAAGGGCCTTAAAAGTCACCAAGAGGGTTTCCTTCTGCTGGCCCCAGCTGGTTCCGGCAAGAGACTTGAGGATGTTGAGGCGCGGGCGGGCTTCCTGACATATCGCAGCGATGTGGCGAAAAGGTGAAGTGGGGGTCAAAAATGAACCCGAGGAGCTTCGGGGTCCGACAAAGTGGAAGGTCGGACCCCTCCCAGCTGACATGAGGGTCTGTTTGTGATTGAAGAATATCGGAGATGAAGAGGGTGGTGTGGGATTTGGGAATGGATACCGATAACCCCTTCCGACGAGCCCACGCAGCCACGTCGGAAGCGTTGTTGGAGATGACTGCAGACTCGTCGGCTATCTGAACGACCCCCGCAGCGGCAGTGAAGTCGTCCGCATATGAGATGATTTGGGGGGCGGACTGGGAGAAGTCTGAAACATAGGAATTGAAGAGAACGGGCGAGATGACGGATCCTTGTGGGACTCCAGCGTGGGCCGGCCGTGGAGAGGAGATGCAGTTGTTGTAGGAGCACCTGGCTGACCTGCCTCTGATGTAGCAGATCAGCCAGCGGAGATATTGGCGTGGAGAGGAGTGGTGGCGATGTAAGAGATGAGCTGGGCATGAGGCACGGTGTCAAAAGCCTTGCTGTAGTCTATTGCCATTATTGCTATTGTCCTGGTTGGTGGGCGAGGCTGGTTGAAGCCTGTAGCTATGGCCTGGGTTAGAAGAAGTAGGGCAGATGTTGTGGAGTGGAGAGGGCGGAAACCATCCTGGGAGTCCACCAGTGAAAGCGCTGCATAAAGGGATGGGAGGAGCAGACGCTCCAACACCTTCACAGACGGGCACAGGAGGGAAATGGGCCGGTATGATGAGCTGATAGACGGGGGTTCCCCTGGCTTTGGAATGGCAATGATTGTGGCCGACTTCCAGATGGCAGGGATGTCGGCCTTGGCGAGGGACAGATTGTAAAGTTGGGTAAGGTACTGGATGCCTCTGGGTCCAAGGTGACGGAGGTGGAGGATAGTGAGGGAGTCTGAGCCAGTGGCAGTCTGGTCTGATCCGGGGTGAACTCAGAGGGTGTGTCGGAGAGGGGATTGCGGCGCTTGATGCCTCTGTAGATGGACCTGCAGGAAGGCTCACGCTAGTTGTGGGGAACCAGCGCGAATTGGCGGCAGCAGGATGAGGCTATGATATGGTCTGCGGTGACATGAGAATTATTGAAGGAAATGGGTTGGTTAGGGGCTTGTCTGGTTGACTTGCCGGAGAGGGAGCGTAGGAGCGACCAAAATTTGGATAGATTTCTCTGCAGGTTGGATTTCTGGACCTACTTGATCCAGGTTGTGCGGGAGTGTGTGGTGATGGCTGCTGAGATGTTGTTGAGGTCCGGGAGGCTGGGGTGGTTGGGGTTCAAGGCACGGGTCCTGTCGCGCTCTTGAATTAGAGGAATGGCTGACGGTGGAAGATTGGGAATGAAATCCCTTCTCCATCCGCGAGGGATATGTCGGCGGGCCGCCGGAGTGAGAGCCCTCCTAAAGAAGACCTCTCCTTGGGAGCAAGAGGAAGGGAGAGCAGCAGCGCTAAAAGCGGCCTTTGTGTCGGCGGAGTAACCGTGTAGAGGAAATAGATTTATTGCTGATTTTTAAGTTGCAATGTATTAGGTTTAGGATTTTGATTTTGTCATTTGTAGTTTTCAATCACCTTAGCCGTGACCTCCAGCAACATTGCGTTTTACCTGTCATTGTGTCTTGTGTTCTTGCCGTGGAGGTACGTTAATCGATAGCTCTGTGGTTATATTTGTGTTTGTTCAATTTTAGAAGTGATTTTAGTTTCGTGTTATTGATTATTTGTGCGTGTTAATTTGTTTATTATATATTCATTCTTTAGTTAGTTATTTCAAGCGTTATTTTGTTCTATTTTCAGGAAGGCCTCGATGTTCGAACTCGATATATGAGCTCAAGTTATGAACTCTATATTTGGACGTGATTAGTGAAGTGAAAGTGAATGAACGCACGGTTAAAGTCAAGTTAAAGTTAGGTTAGGATTAGGGTGTTAGGTTTGTTGTGTTTTGTTTCTATTTATTCATTGTTAATTATATTTACTTGAAACTTTTTATTCATTGAAGAAAATCCTTGCCCTTGAACGGTTTATTAAAGTCTTGAAGAACGATCACGTGCTATGTGTCGGGGAGACGTGACGTCTCCCCGACATCTATTATAAATCTATTTCCTCTACATCCGTCCCAATCTGCACAACGGAGGTTGATGTAGGTGCGGAAAGGACGGTTATTGGGAGAGTTCATGAAGTCCAGGGAGATGGAAATGGGAAGGTGGTCAGAGTTGAGGTGGGCCAGTGGGGTCCAGTGGGAAGGGGGGGGGGTTGCATTACACCCGGGGCAGGTCCATGCAGGTGTGGTAATACTGGGACGCCCTGCTGAGCCCAGAGCACCGTTTGTGGACCCAAAGGCTACAGCGGTAGCAGCCTGCATCTCTCACCCGCAGACGCCACAAGGGTGAGAGATGTCAGGGCCGGGTGAGGGTGGATACCCGCCATCAAAAGAAGAAATGCGATAGTGACTTGGTCAGATGGACGAGCTGCGGCCGAGGGTAGGAGAGACGATGGGTAGAAGCGACGCCCCACATTGAGGCGCCGCCAGGCCAAAAAAACAGCTCTCAGCAGGTCCAGCAGTTGTGTCCGTGTTTGGCCTAACGGGAGCGACGGGTCGTCCCGGAGGGGTCCGTCCACCCGAAGAGGTCCGGACGTCGGATGGACTCTACATCATTGCCATGAACCACAAACTGAGTAAAATAAAGAACGGCTAATGCTACAGTTCTGAATGCATGGTGGAGTACTTCATTTGGTAAACAGTAAATATAATATGATATAGTGCGATAAATAAAATATAATAATGTACTGGTCAGCTATGCAAATCGTTCATTCTTAACCACCCGACCATCTTGCCTTATTGCGTAAAATTTAAACAACATGCTGAAGTTCTCGAATCAATAATTCACTGCTCCAATCTTGGGCAATTCAAGCCTTTGGAGACTATATTTAATACCAAGGCTATATCAAACACAAATAATGTGATTATTAATTAAAATATATTTATTCCATACAGAATTACAAAGAAATTACCTAACTAGATGCTCACTAAAATGCTGCACAGTTTTGCTTTTGAACCCTCCTCAAACTGCCGCAAAAATTCGAAATATTTCTAGAAATAAAAGTACAAAAGGAAGAATGTCATACAAGAATAAAGAGCACAATCACCCACATAATGACAAAGCCTGTTGAAATAAGTTCTGACGGCTCTGTTAGTGAAACAAATATACGTTCAACGTTATAACTTTTAAAGATATGTTCGATTCAGTTCGAATAAAACAGTTCATTAGATAAATCATTTCATTACAACATTTCCCGAAATATTATAGACTTGGTAGGCAATCAGTCGTATTTGAAGTCGATTCCATGATCGGTGAAATTTTTCTTGATCCAAAGGTCGAGTTTGGCGTTCTGTTCTGGAGTTATCTTGTCCCTCCAGGTGCCTGCCTTGCCTAGAAAACATCATATGAATATTAGCTAAAAACTTTTAGGCTGACTAAATAAACATTAACCGTAATTATCCGCTCAAGTATAAAACTATTGTATATATTAAAATAAGACTTAGTTGTGCTTGGATCACAGGTGAAGAAAATTTTAGACGTGTTAATATGTTATATATAATAGTAAAGTAAATTTGAGGTGTACTGATACATTTCAAATCCATAATTTTGAAATGAACGATAAAATCGTTCTAAAATTCATTAAAAATGCTAATGTTTCAAGTAAATTCTTATCCATCATTAGTTAACAATCGGTGAGAAATGCAGCCAAAAAAATATCAGGATAATTATCTTTTAGTCATAAGACTTGTCCGGGATTTCGGCGGACTCATCCCTCACCCTGCCTGACGAACAGTCCTTCCTTGTTTCCCTCGTCCATATTGTAGGATGTTTCGTTAAGTTTCTGCATCTGGTCCTTCTCTTGCATGGTCCGGAAGCTGGTTGTCTGCAAAATCTGAAAAAGTGCGTAACATTCAGAAACTCTTATGAGATGAAGAAAATCTGCATTCTATTTATATATTGCAATATAATATAAATGACATATATCAGTTCTGCCTGGAACAAATATTGTATCCTGAAATTTGTTGTTCTGAATATTCTAGCCTGAAATCTGTTGTCCTGTTCACTAATCAGTAGCAAACATCAAAACCATTTGAATGAGTGATGGTGAGTGAGAGAATGAGTGGGCGAGTGAGTGATAGCGGGTAAGTGAGTAAAATGAGTGATAGTGAATGAATTATAATGTGTGCGTGAGTAAAGAGTGATATAGAGTGCTGCAACACTGACGTTGTCGAACTGCTTGTCCGTAAGGCCGGTGCCCAAGAAAGCGTCGAGCTTCGTGAGCTGCTGGCGGGTGTCTGCCTTGAGCTCCTCGAACGTCGTCATGAAGAAGTTGGGGTGGTGGCGTCGGGACCACGCCTCTCTCAGGTGCTGCCCGTACGGGCTATATAACACTGAAAAAAAGTAAAAATACCGCAATTGAGGTATACTATTTCCTTCACAACCCTGTAAATACACTCACTAAATAACACTGAAATCGCGAACATTTTTCTAGAACATAGTAAAATCAGGATTTTAAATAATTCGGCAACTGTCACTGAAAGACATTGAAAAAATACGACGATTGCCGTGTCTTATTATATTTATAACCTTACAACAGCACCAAAATATAAATGAATCTCACGCAAGTCCTCCACGAATAGGTCAACAAATTCATCCTGAGTGCCGACGAAGTTGTGCAGTTTGGCGAGCTTGTAGTGGTGCTGAGCGGACAATACGTTGTCCTTGGGATTACGTGACACGTAAACAACCTGTGGGGTCAATGGGAAGAGTAAATTAGGCGTTATAATTTATTAACTGCCATCTCAATAGATGGCAGGTAATTAATTTCAAGTGTTTCAAGACTAATTAATTAATTAGTCTCGAATTTCAAGATTAATTAATTAATTTCAAGACTAATTAATTTCAAGTGATGAAATTCAACAGTCACACATTGAAACCAACTTGATGAACGCTTGTCTCACCATTCGTTTCGAATTGTAATTTCACGATTTCTTTAGAACCCACTTTTATTTTAGCTGAAATGAATTAAATGCATTAAAATTATGAATTGAATTTCAGAATTTCATGTGAGGTTGGCAAAGGAATTTATGGTACACTCAGAGAAATCAGTGAGAATTGGCCAAATGGGTCATCATTACCCATTTTGGCTCTGCAAAACTGGCGTATCAGTACTACGAGCAAAAGTCGTGTCACTATTTAGACAATATGACTAACGCATTTTTCTGATTTAACCTTGCATGTGTCCAATAGATTCTTGGGCAGCATGGAAAAGGGCAGATGAGTCTTGATAGTGCGAGGCTTCCAGTGAGCTTCAGCCACCTGAAAAATATTTAAAATTCAAGGTCTGTCATTCAAAAGTACAAAGCGTAAATCCTCATTTATTTGTAATAAAATGTAAATGCCAATAATATTTGATATCAACAAAGTGTTCTACATGCAACCAAAGGGTAACTAAGGCAACTCTTTTAAAACTCAAAGATAATATTTCAAATTTGTATGTTTTCAAGAAAATAGGTTTGCCTTCCTTGTAAAAATTACGAAAGGACCTCTTAAAGCGCTGTATATGAAGTTTCAGCATTTCGTTAGAGAAGTAGTATAGTATAAGTCGTAGGAATAATCCGTAATTATTTTACCGTACCTGAAAGTAAATCGCAGTTCCCACAAGCTGGTCAAGATCCTTGACGTATTTTTCGATGCCCTTCATGAAGACGGCCGTTGCAGCAGCGTCGACCGGCATTTCAGGCACGGAAAGCATGTCCATCCTGTGCACCCGACGAATAAACAAGCCAAATAACCATGACAAAATTGAACGAAAAATGAATGGGTCATGTTGTCCAAATAACGACTCATTCCCTTACTCACAGCAAGCGGACGATGCACTGATACGCAATTTAGCCGGGCGTTAATTGAGTCAGGACCAATTACACAAAAGTAAAAAGTTCATCGCTATTTGGACAATGTCTTTGCTTCTTATTTCTTTGGACTAAAAACACAAATATTGGTGTCACGCATAAAAAATTTCACCGCTTCCACCAGAGAAGTGTGAAAAGAAAGGAGAATGATATTGCAATCATAACTAACTAGAACGTGATGGGATTAAACTCCACGAATTTGGTCTCTTCTTTGGTCCAATATAAAGAAAGGTACTATCATGTTAAATTATGCCAATTCATTGCACGTTTAAAAAGTATTATCAACCGAATATAACAATGTCACAATTACAACCATTTCTGGTGCATTTACTGTTGGTAAAACGCCAAAAACGCCGGGCTAATTTCTTAGCCTTTACAGCTATAAGTAAGAAGTATACAGCCTGAATGCTAGGCACAAATTAGCCACACTAATCTCACTCAAGGTAAGGGCTGCGTATGAAGAGTGCGTCGTCGGCGTCTGGGTTGTCAAGGTCTGGGTTGTTCCTCATGTTCCAGACGATCTCCTGGCTCCATGTGGTACCACATTTAGGGTATGTCATCACCACTATATCGTCTGGTCGAAACTGCAATATACAAATTCTTTCAGTGAAATTATTCTAAATAAAATAGTATTTGTTTTCTGCGCATAGTAAATTACCAAAAAAAAAACAGCTAAGCGATATGTCGTTTGACGCAACGATAAGAGATGCCACATAAGAGGAGGATTAAAATTTCATGTTCAAAATTTGTGCAAGGAACTAATTGTTATTCCACAATACATAGAAAATTAATATGAAATCACACCATTATTAAAAATCTTCATAGTTGGCGCAAGCGAACCCCCCAAGCCTTGAAGTTGTAGACCTTCTCGTGAATTTGCAGGAATCTACGAAGTACGACCCAGTTGTGGGGCCTCAGCAGCACCACGTCCGCCCACGGTCCCGTCAGGAGCTTGTCGATCTTCTCTTTAGTGGCGCAGTCGACCTCATGCACCGTGTGGCCGCTGGCTATCTTAGTGCAAACCTCAGACATGTTGTTTCTTATAGCAGCTATTTCATGAAACAGAGAAAATATGAACGTGTTAGCTCGACTTTGTCATATTACCGTGATAATTAACAAATATCCTTCTATGCATACCGGTGCTGATCCAAATTACACAGCGTCATTCATGCCAAATTGACTAAGCCCGAATTGACTAATATACCTTTTTGAAAATTCAATTAAGTTCACGATTTTTCCAGCAACACTCCCCTCCTAAAACTGACTATTACTAGTATGATAAATACTCACAACTCAATTATGTAATTGCATTTAAGATACGCGAAAATGTGTTGATCTGCATAATGATGCTACTTTCCAATCGGCTGAAGTTAATTACATTTGAATGTAATCTTTCTCATTAGTTGATAACCAATTATAATTTTTTAGATTTCTTGAAAGACTGCTGTTTTGTGGGGTTCAAATACTCTAGTTGTACAGAAGTTGTGTCATTAATAATAAGTACGTATAGTTCTAACTAATAGCGTCTAGTTAATAAAAGGATAAGAAAGGATAGACACTTTATACGCATAAAAGCCTCCATAATTCAACACAGCAATCTTGGTAATCTTAGTACTTGTTTAGGACATAGCAGTCCCAGGCCACGACGGATCGCCGCCTCTGATTATCGTTCATCCGCCCGCATTTAGGTCACCTGATGCACGATGCTGTTGCTTGCTTCTCGCCGCTGGTAGTGTTGCAGGGGAGGTCGATCTGGGATTGTGCCCAGGAAAACGTCCAGTTGTCTCTTGAAGGTCTCCAGGGTGAACTCCCCCTCTTTTAGATCCTTTGGTAGGACGTTGAACAGCCTTGGCCCTGCCACGGAAAGTGATCCTTCCCGCAGGGATTGAAATATGACTGCGGATCTGTTACGTAATGGGGGATCTTGCACAGTCTCTCCCTTCTCTCGTTGTGATATGTCTCAATCCAGAAGGTCTCGCTCTCGAAATTTGGCACCATTCCGGTTATCATTTTCCATGTGTACAGAATGACATACCTCTCCCGTCTCCTCTGCAGTGAGTACAGAACCAGGCGCCTCAACCTCTCCCAGTAGTTCAACTCTTCCATCCCTCTGATCCTGGAAGTGAAGGTTCGCTGGACACCTTCCAGTTGCCGCACTGCGCCGAGTGTGAACGGGGTCCAGAACTGGCAGCAGTATTCGAGAATTGGTATTACAAGGGCTCTAAAGAGTGTGATCATCGGTTCCGCTTCTCTTGTTCTGAACGTCCGCCCGATCCACCCCATCTGTCGCCTACATCTTGCGGATATTGCCGTTACGTGATCACCAAAATTGATCTGAGTATTCATCAACACTCCTAGATCACGAACAAGTTGTTTCTCTTCGATTTCCGAGTTGTCAGGTGCTAGGCAGCGGTGCTCCATACCAGCTCTTCCGCTACCTCTGTATCTCAGAACCTCAAACTTGGTCCCGTTGAACTGCATGTTGTTCACTTGGGCCCAGTCATATATTGCAGAGAGGTCTTCTTGCAACCTCTCGCAGTCCCTCCTGTCCGTTATGGTCATTAGTATCCTGGTGTCGTCCGCGAATGACGATGCAGTGACGTGGTTCACAGCCAGGCGATGTGAATGAGGAAGAGGATTGGGCCGAGTACCGTTCCCTGTGGTACTCCACTCTTCACCCTAGCCTCACTCGATCTCGAGCCTTCTGCAACGACAGCTTGCAGACTTTCTGTTAGGAAGCTGTGGATTCATGCCAGCAATTCACCTCTGACTCCCAGCAGTCTTAATTTTCTGAAGAGCACTCCATGGTCAACTTTGTCAAACGCTTTCGCGAAGTCCAAGTACACCACGGCAAAGTTGCAAAGCAGTACCGCTACGAGTTTTTAAGCGAGTATTTATATAACGGTATCTGTTCGGGAAGAATTACAGGGCTAAAAACTCACAGTTTGGTTCTGCTCATGTCACGACTGGTTCAGAGGAAGCAGGAGTAACTCTATAACGACTCAACTAACTCCTTGCGGAACTAGTAGTTGAGCCGGAGTCATTTATGTTTCCTTTGAATTTAATCTTTGATCGAAATGGAAATTTAATGCATAATGTGGGTTGGAAATGTGGGGAAAAGTAATTCGGAATACCGGAATTTTTGAAGTGCAGAGATTATCTCTTTAGAGCAACGCCAAACTGCAAGTGAATGAGCTCTGCCTTGAATTTCACGACCTTTGCCATGAATTCCACGAACTCTGCCATGAATTCCACGAACTCTGCCATGAATTCCACAAACTCTGCCATGAATTCCACGAACTCTGCCATGAACTCCACGAACTCTGCCATGAACTCCGCGAACTCTGCCATGAATTATATGAAGGCTGCCATTAATTACACGAACACTGCCTTGAATTCCATGAACTCCGCGAACTCTGCATGAATTCCACGAACTCTGCCATGCAGTCCATGAACTCTACGAACTGCCACGAACTCCACGAACTCTGCATGAATTCCACGAACTCCCTCCTATCAGATCATGCCGCGATACACCGACACACAGGCCTGTATGAGAGCATTGGTAACTCGTTGGTAGCCGACGCACGAATGACTGTTAACGTCAATTTGTTTATCAGCACATGAAGGATAACGCGAAGCACAAGTGGATATCTATTCGTTCTATTAAACTCTTCTCGGTACAATCTTACCCTGTTTTATCAAATCAAGGGTTTCATTCTGCATGCCTTCAAAGCTGCCGCACTCCATGCAACGTATCTGGGTACCCGTGGAGCTGCCGTGAGACTCCCCTACTCAGAAGAATGAATGTCATATTGTCTAAATTGACACGGATGTGGTTTGGTGGGCAAGAAGAAATGGCACTTTTCTTTTTGTAGTTTTTACTTGCTATCGTAGGTTACAATGGAAACGTAAGCGACGTGGTGACGTAAGCTGGAAATAAGATTTAATATTAGTTAATAGGTCGAGAAAAACATACATTAAACTTACATTACGCAGGGGCTGGACTCCCATTGTTTAGGCTTAATTAATAATGTTGTAGCTGTTGTAACGATGACACACGATTACAGCTGGCGTGACAGGAATGGTTTGTGAACATGATCAATTGCGCAGTATTTCATTAGGTGCTTACAAAAGCGGCAAGAAAAGACGCAACTTTGATGATAGCTAAGTTCACCATGTTAGGGACCGCCTTTAGATACAATTTCATAGATAGTTAAGCTACGGGTTTTGTCATTTTGCTTTTAGAGTCAACTATTACTACGTCACCTCGTGTAGCTCCGTCATGTAACTTGTCATTGCTAAGTGATCCACCACAGAGGTTAGTGCTTTCATTGTTTATCGTGTGGTGGCCTTTCTCGTGATATTGTGTATTGTTATTTATGTTGTTTATTATTTATGTATGTTATTCTTTTGTAAGTGTTGCGTTAATTCAAGTCCGTAATTTGTATTTATTTGCGTTTTTTGAGCGAGGCTACGAACCTAGGTCATGATTAGGAATTAATATGCAAGGGCTTGAAAGACACACGGTTTATAGTTTTGTATTCTCCTATTTATCGTTCTTTTGTTATTATAGTTCTTAACTTATCAGTGTTTATTCATCCTTTTTATTTGCGATCATTGGCCAAGTGTTTGGGGTAAACGAATGCTTATTTATTGATTAGTCTCCAACAACCAATTTCAGCTTCAGGGAGAGTTAGGCCAGATATACATATCATTAATTGACGTTCCTTTGCTTATGCTTGCATTTGCCAACGCTGGGTTGGGCTTTGATCACGATTATAGTGTCAACGCTGGGTTGGGGCCGTTGGGCTTGAAATACTTACTATTCCGACGCATGGAATCGTGAGATTAGAGATTACTTTTAGAGGAAAATATTTTAAAATTACCTAATATGTTTCAAATCAAAAGAGACGCAATGAAACACAAGTCGGCAGTAGGGGCCGTCAGCCGTGTAGAGGAGGCGGTAGACAGAGGACAAAGTAGTCTCCCTCAAAACTTTTCTCTATGACTGAGTCGAAGAAAACAGGATGGCATTGATATGTGGCTATGTCTACCTGGAATTCAAATAAGCCACAACAGCAAAAGTCTGATAAATGACCTAAAGAATATTAAATCAATACATCTAGTTTATGCTACAAATAGTTCCACTTCAAAGTAATTGCGCTTAGACAAAATAATCCTAAAATATAGCTGTGAACTATGATATAGATTATAGAAGGTGTTCATAACAATGATCGCCCACGATGTCGTCAAGTCGTGGCGCATTGTTACTCATAATAAAGACTTCGCTCACTCAGTAACATGCAATTGTACCACGAATTCGGAACCATACACAGTAACAGACGTTAGAGAAATACATGGATACAGTAGGTTTAATAAGCTATTAGGAGGTAACACTGGGAAGCTGCTTGGCTATTTCCTACATGCACGAGCTTCTTCCGGGCACTGCAAGGTGCGGTCAGCGGTGACGCTGGCTTGGTGGCAAACGCGGGAACCGCTTGTGGGCTCGCTGCACTCATCGAATAATAATGTCGTTGATCTTTGCGATATTTTGCACGCACTTATTGAGTGCGCGTCGTGGTGAATGAAGATTTGGGGATAGAATAAATAAGGATAGGAAAACTTGTGCGTTGAATCTGACGAACCACATCAGGCCTACTCTTTAGCGCCGACATGACTATGTATCACTATGATTGACGAACGAAGTCATACAAATTGTTACAAACTTTCTTACCTACTTTACTTGATGAACTGACATAGAACTGATATTCCTTTTGGCTTGGCCATACTGGGTCAATATGACATTTGCAAGAATAAAAGTTCATCGCTATTTGGGCAAATTCTCACTCATTTCTCTGAACGCGGCATTGCAGCGAGATTAGCAGAATTGTCGTGAAACTTACGTTTATCAAGTCGCCGATTTGAGATATCGAATAATATTTACTGCTAGCTTGGATTCAAACCTTGTCTTCGTGCAAGACCTCAATCGGCAGAAATTATTCAAGTATCCATCGCCACAAGCGGGCAGTTGATTAGCGGCGCTATTATTCAGTTATCAAGAAGAAAATGCCGCAGCACAAGGAAAGTACAATCAGCATCTTCCTGCCTCCTCCGATAATTGAGTTGATTAGATAACAGAGACTCGGCAGATTCACATATCTCGCTGCGAAGAAGCTTGATGCTTTCAAAGAATTTAAGAGATTTTAGCAAAAATAATAATGTTCCCATCAGCAAGAAGTTACTGAGATTAGTTACTGAACAGAAATCATATCAGGTTTATAGACAAGTTGGGTGACATCGTGACAGACAAGCCTGAGGTTTGTAGTTGACTCCATATTGCAAGTCATAGTGTTGTGTTATATATGTTAGAAATGTAAATAAATTATAAATTTAAAGAGGGGGTTATATCGTCAACTTAGAGAGCGTACATGTATCTATCCTTCACTTACAGCGTTGTACATGTTACCTTCAGATAATTACAATGACTGAGATGTAATGAGATCCCAGGCTTTTAGACACCCCGGTCTCCGTGTGGGCGCTTCGGATCCGGAAATCTCAATGTATCTCTGAAGACACGCGTCTAAAGATCCCAAAATTGGAGGGGTAAAATAAATAAATTTCCTTATTCTACCGAGGAATAGGGGGAATGAAAAAAATCGCGAATGTAAGATTTTAATCTTTAAAAATAACCATTCAGATTTACTGTACACAACTTTGAGAACATAAGTTTGAAAACATAACTTGATTCAAGCATTGCTGTTTTGCAGCGGCTTAAACAACCTAACAATTTCAGCCAAAATTTTTGTCAAAAATATTTTAGCATTTGATTTTACATAAAAGGTCAAGTGCTCCATTAACAAACTGAAAATTCAACAAAAATTTCCAACGGGGCAATAATTGACGTCATCTCACTGAAGTCCGGCATTTCATCACAAGTTTTAAGAGATGAACGGAACTATTTTGGTACGGAGGCGAGGCTATAGCAAGCCTATGCCAGGCAATGAGTGCTTGCTCTTCATATACGAAAGTTCAAACCTAAGGATATATTTATCCTTAAAATACCCTGATGACTTTTAAGCCAAATATCTTAGTTATCAAACCAATTTTACCTAATTTAAAAACATGAACATATTTTATTATTATTATAAAAGAAAACACAGATAAAATACACAGAGGACGTCGTACTGACTACAGGTTCGGTAGATTCACTTCCTGCATTGTTAACATTCTTTCCGAATCATGTTTCACTTCAACATTTAATTATTGCAATAACCAAGTGAAGAGAAAACGCCTGCATATTGAACATCTTCAACCGGTCAGTTCATAATTTGAAGAGACAGTCTCATTATTCTATTCGGTATTAAATGCAAGAATCGTGTAATTTGTACACACAGAAAGTTACAAAGAATTAGGTAGCAGTTTCGTGTATCCGTCTGACTGATGCAGTGGGCAATAGGCTTGATGTATCTAATGATAGTATTCAAGATGCATTATTTAATTATTTATTTGAACTTTTTGACGAATATTAAAATTGATTGAAGATAAACGAGTGGAGGGATGTGAGTTTTCGTTCGATTATATATTAATTCACCGAAAATTTGAAGGAAAACAAGTTCCTTACGATAATTATTCATTAATTGCAGCCTCTTAATAACACGTAATAGTAACGTAACAAATCATTTTCACTAGGGTAACACTCTTAACATATCTTAACGTCGTTGGGTAAGAATAATTTCTATCTCTGAGGTAGAAGCCACTAGCGGGAATCGTTAATTGATCGAATGTATTATTTTATGACATCGTTTTGAACCACTTTACGCTATATTTCACAATCAGTGCTGACTGAATCAGTCGTGTTGCAAACTCTACAATCACAAACATAGATGACGACTATAACACACAGAACAACACGAACAACACAGAACAGTGAACGACGAGTTCGTCAACACGAATGAGTTCATCCGTAAGTCCTTTGTTGCCAACATGATGACGGCCATCGACGCCTATGTTGAGGCAGGACAGATGAAGAATTGCTGGGAATTTAAGAAGAAGAATAAAAGCTCGAGCGCGTGCCATAGAATGCTGTTCGCATCCTGACACAAATTCCACCACATTTTTTCAACTTTAAAAAATTAAATTGAATTAACTTCAGTTCACTATTTAGGAGATGTTTTATATATATAATCACCGAACCATTACTCACATTTCGTACTAACGTGGTTCAGGTGCACCGCGCTCAAATTAAGTGCACTGTAGCCAATAAAATAATATTAACTTTGCAATATCAAATAATACAACTTCGCCAGTAAGGTTTTTATTTAATTATTTTATTGATGCTTTTCCCATCTTCAATCTAATTCATGTTTAAATTTATGTTGGGAAATTCAGTTCAGTTAAGAAAAAATGTATGCGATAATGAAGTTGTTTTTTAAAAAAGTTGAGCTTTAACAGCGGAAAAAGTTGATCACCATTAAAAAGCATCGTACGACTTGAATATCACTATTTATAATATGACAAGAACATGGCACTACAAAAAAAATTAAACAACAACTTTCTGAACGATGCCTAAACATCTGAAAAATTATAATTCTATTTACAACTGGCGACACAAATCTATAAATAAATTCTCGCTCGTACTGTTTCGTAACAAAAACAATAATAAACGGCGGTAATTTCCATTCTTTTAACGCCTGGCTTCAATCCTTCACGTAAATAACTTCGTAGTGAGGATGACACCAAAGCGTCCAGACCGTAACATGTTAGTAGCCAACGCTTGATTAAATAATAACAAGCACTTCTCATTATTTTCCGATGAAAATAAGTAAAGCACTCTAGAGTTATATACCTAACACTTATGAACCATAAATGCAGTTTACCAAGTCGCCTCTTCGTAAGAATAACATTTGGGCACAACATCAAGAAGTCATCGAGAAATATATGGCACTGGGAATAGAGTAGCTTACTTGACAGACGGGCCTGCTACCCTCGTTCTTCTTAAAGCTATGACTAAATATTTCTTTGGCTTACAAAACACTTACACTGTAGCGCGGCCTGCAACGATTTGGCTGTTGGGTCAAGGTTCTATGTTTAATAATCAACATATGATTACGTTTTGATTCTCAAAATGAATTTGGCTAAAGTGATTCCTGGACACATTTCTAGCCTGGAAAGCTGGTTGACAAGGAGTTCATCCATGTGTCTATCCAACAACATTTGCACAGTGAGGCTCTAAATAAAGTCTATCAATCTCTAAACACCGAAACTTCACTGGCCCTAGACAACGAAGACGGCCTAAAATATTGACTATATGTCGGTAACACGAGACAACATCTAGTTAACTGCTTCTAAAATACCTCACTAGATGGCAGGCTGTTCTACCGGAAAATGTGTGACTAATTTTGGGACTCTCTAATATAAATTAAACGACTCTGCATGAGAAACTTATTCGTAACAGCCTCGAACACTGCACTGTTCTGAGTTCCTGCAGAAAATACTCGTCAACAACTTTGCTTGGGAACGTAAGATTTTTTCGGTGAAATAAATGCATGGTAGGTTCTAGAAATTAATAGAATATGCCACCAGGCAGTTTAAACATAACAGACGTTGAAATCTCGAAGTCCTGGGGCGAACGAAACCGGCATCACAACCTGAAATGAAAAAGTTTTTGAGAAGACGGGGTTTTAATTTCTTCGAGTTTCGGTTCCATCAAGTTTTTAAGTCAAACAAATTTAAATGCATGTTTTTTAATTTTTTGTAAACCTATGATGCGAAATATGTCGGCAGGATGCTTAATGTGTATTTGAAATTCTGTCAAAATAAAATATCAGAAAACAAACGTGCCGAATGATAAGACGGCAACTGTAAAATTGGTCTACACTTGCTGACTTGGTACTCACCATAACATAAAATTGTTGTTCTATTTATTCACTCCCAAGGACTTAAGTTTGGGTTGAGATTGAGAAGAAGCTATCCACTTGAATTGGCTGGGTGCAGAAGAGGCGCGGCATCGAGAGTAGGACGCGGCATTTCTGTCGTCAGGACGATGTGGGCCGACCAAGTTCTAGACTCCATCCTATTCCTGGAGTTTCGTCGTCTGTGGTGAGGCTTAACTCGCTGCAAGCTCTCATGACTCTCTGAATCAGATAATTCTTCACTACTGACTGCATTGGACGTATTATCACTAAAAAGCTCTTGGCCTAACATACCACGACGACGTTGAGTTAGAGGTAGCCCTGGTGCACCATGTAAAGTCGGGTCAAGAGATTCAAAGTTAGTTTCAATATTCTGTAAATCACTTTCGCTGCTGTGACTTTCTTCCAAATCCAATGCTAATATAGCGCGTAAAATCTGTCTGTTCCGTTGCAGTTGGACGAAATAATGACTAGAATACGGTTGTGCCCCATGACTGACGAGTTTACTGCTATTGTTCTTAGGGTCGGGGGCAGCGCTCCATTCTTCAGGCCTTTGAGAAAATGATGATGCAGCATCAACGGACTGAACTGAACCTGAGAGCAATCCTGTGTCTGGATTATAAACTGGGGTGTCATGCCATACAGTCAGGTGATGAGGCAGCGATGAATCATGAACTTTTCGTGAAGATTCGGTTGTACCGAAAACTTCAGCCTGGGCTAGTGGATGTAGTTTAGCGTAAAGTCGTCTGTCGGCCAGTGATCGTTGCAGAAGCTGCCACAGCGCAAGCGGTTGGTTACGAGGACAACGCAGGCCCGCCCGAGAGCCGCGCAGGTAGGACAGAGGGCCGCGACAGCCGTGCTCCGCTGCTGTGGTGGTGGAGGTGTTTAGTTAGAGCAGGTTGGGGCACGTTAGGACACGTTAGGGCATGTTAGAGCAGATTTTGGCACGTTACAGCAGGTTAGGGCACGTTAGGACACGTTAGGGCATGTTAGAGCAGATTTTGGCACGTTAGAGCAGGTTAGGGCATGTTAGGGCACGTTAGGGCAGGTTAGGGCATGTTAGAGCAGGTTAGGGCATGTTAGAGAAGGTTACGGCATGTTAGGGCACGTTAGGGCATGTTAGGGCATGTTAGGGTTGGGTTTGGCAGGATTGCAGCAATGTTATGGTAGTATTTTAGATGGGTTAGGGCAGGATTTCCGCTTCAGATTCAAGCTGGATTATAGCAGTGTTACTATAGCATCATAGCCGGATTACGGCAATGCTACTTCGGTATTATGACAGCGTCACGGCAGTATCACGGCAGTGTTACAGCAGGTTCAGAAAGATATTTAGAATCTATTAAGGATGCAAAAAAATCGTCAGTCACAAAAAACGTCTTGATCAGAAATTTTGTTCGTGATTTTAAGGAACCTTTTCTGAGTACGAATTCATTTTATAAAGGCAATGCTGGCCTAACATTAACAATTAACGATCAAGCCCAGCCGTTAATTTACAGTATATCAATATAACAGTATATAGAGAATATATTCTCATCTTAACGCCAAACAATATCGCTTATTAAAAGGTTAAGAGTATATCACATCAATACATGGTATGAAAATGAAGGGTAAAAACACGCAAAAATGAATTACACAATCAAAGCTATAAATACAAGCAAAAACCAAGGAGCATTTACCAACTAAGGACGAAAGGGAATTGAAAGTAAATGAAGATTATTTTTCAGCCAAAAGTTCATGCCGAAGACAGCAACTTGTACATTATTGGAAATTTCAAGCATTTTGATTAATTTGGAGCTAAAGAATGTAGCTTATATTGAAGAACCTTCATCAGTTAAGAGGCAAGACGCCTAGTTAAGATCAACACAAGTTAACAAATTTTTTTTTTAAGCGGATAAAAAAAATTTAATTAATTAAGTTAACAAATAAGCGGATACTTTGTCGCTGTTGTTAAGCGGTCACTGATAATACATACGTAGCAATTACAATAATTGAAACCTATATAATATAACAAATCAGTATTAGAGTATCATCAATTATTTCAAATGATTGAATATTAAAAAAAAGTAAAGATAATGAAGATTGTGGTGCATTGGATTACAGCAACGCTTGCAGAGCGGTACAATAGGACAGGTTTAAAAGAATAGGCTTTTTATAATATAATACGTTAAAAATAAGAAGTTACATGTGATTGGTTGAATTAAAAATTTATTTATCATTGGTTGAAATAAGAGGTTATATGTGATTGGTTGAAATAAGGTAATTTATTTTTGGTTGATATATGAGGTTATATGCGATTGGTTGAAATGAAAGGTTATTTACGGTGAAAGTTAAATTTTATTGGGAGCGACAGAGTAGCTAGCGATATTCGTAAGGTTATTGAAAAAAAATAGACGAAAACTAACAAGAACCAATCCCACGGCGTATCCAAAGAAAATATCAGACGAAATTCAAGGCAATAAATAATTGTGAACGCTCTCATGATAAATTATGAATTTTTATAAAGATTGATAAGAGTAAAGCCCACGTTGCCGATGAGACATTGTTCAGCATTCTGAAATCATCTGAAGTTTTAGTATTTTGTGCGAAACAATGGAAACACTAATACTATATTACTAATAAACACTAATACTTGGTTGCGTGGCTTACATCATGGGTTGGTAATATAAGTTACATGGTAGGATAGGTTACATGGTAGGATACGTTACATGGTAGGATACGTTACATGGTAGGATAGGTTACATGGTAGGATGGGTTACATGATTGGTGGTAAATCATGCGCTACATGGTGAGTAACACTTTATTAATTGTTAAATTATGAGTTATATGACCGTTTTAAGAGATAGATCACACGATTGTTAGGTACGATAAATTACACGATGAATATGAAGGAAGCCACGATTTCGACATGAGGTCAATGTACAACTGTACATTTAACGTACTTGCGGCGCTCCTTTGATAGGAAAGAAATCATTCCTACATGCAGTGATGTGTAACATGGGGGAGGATCTACCCACTGCGGGGGCGACGTCTCCCTGCCCCCAGGACTAACCGGGGGCGAAATTCTGTTTGGGGAACAAGGGGAACGTCAGGGGGGGCATGTTCAAAAATCCCTCCGGTGATCCGAGTTTAACGACGGTCGAATGTCCCGGGATAATGAGATCGTATGTTAAAAAGTGACCGTTTAGTATTCGACGTAGACAATCCTAATGTGAATAATTAGCAGGTTTAGTCGTAAAACTGAAGAATATATAGTTTGCGGGTTGACTTACGAACACCCTGGCGGTAATTGATTGATAACGATCGAAAGGGCCATATAAGTAATGTCTTTTTCTTTGTTGACTTATTACTTCCCGGGTAAATAACAAAACTGCATTCTCCGTCTGTGATTGGTCCTGAAGGTTTATTTAACGTAAAAGATTTGCTGAAAATTTGACGACGGGGTGACACTTATTTAATTTTTATAATTTAAAGGAAATTTAATTAATTTAATTTTCGCTTAAATTTATTTTAATTTAATTTTCGCTTTCTTCATTCATGGTTTATTGAAAGAAGAACCAGGCTGTTAAAAAAGCGTAAAAATAACGGTGGAACCATCAGTTGCAGACTGATTCCCGTGAAAAAAATACATTTTTGCCGTATTTTATTAACAATTATTGACGTAAAATCCAAAATATATCAAGTATAAGGTACAACTGAAATCATCAAGCGTCAACTATTCGAATTCACAGTCACAATTACCGACTGTATAACGAAAAAACAGTGCCACCTATCTTTCGAAAAACGTTAATCTTTCGAAAAACATTAAACTTTCGACAAACTTCAATCTTTGAAAAAACGTTAATCTTTCAAAAAAGTTAACGTGTCCATCAATTACTCTCATGTTTCTTTTGTACACAACGTTTCGCAACGTTCATGCGACCAAACTAAACTATTGTTAACTTGGCGGTGAGATCGGGGAATAAATTTTTTCGGTCACTGTTCCCTTCGATTTTGGATTAATAAAATGACTTAGCAGCTGTTATGCGTGAGGTCGAAACGCATTACGATTACTGTATTCGTTTAGTTTTAGTAATTTGTTTCGTAAATTCTTGACTTAATTAGATACGATGGATAAATTTTTTGGAAGGCAATGAAAGTCAATGGAAAGAAAAAGTAAAATCAAGAAGTGTGAACTTTCGTCCATTTTTCTTTCCGGGTTACGTATATAAAGAATATCAAAAGTAATCAGGCGTTTACCAAACAATAAAATTATTGAAAAAACTTGTAATTTAAATTCAGTACAAGAAAGACGAGTACAATTACGGAGAATTACATTTACGAAGTCGAACCAGGTAAGGTGATTAGGTTCAATGTCAATTTTTACTGATTTGAGAATGGAAATCCAATTTAAAGTGAAGTCAGTAAACAAGTTACATTGATGAGACTGCAATTAATACAATCATGGAGAAATCTAGAATATGAAAAAATAATTTATGTCGAAGTTAAAAATACAAGCCAAAATTTTCTCACACATTCATTTTGCAGTTATCGTGAAGTTGTACCATTTGTGTTCCAAATCGTATGTATCATATCATTAGTATCATAATGTTTCATATTATTTGCATCATATCTTTTGTATCAAAATGTATCATATCATTTATGTATATCAACACTGAATTAACTTAATACGAGTCATTTTCAGTAAACCTTGCCAAATTTTTAGCACTTTAATTTCACATATCTTCGTGCCAATATGTGGCTAACTAAAAACTTTTTGCATAAGCATACAAAAGTTCTGAAGTAAACAATAAAGCAATCTGAAAATTCACACAACATATAAAATCATAGAATTTTATTTCGAAATGAATAGAAAGAAACAGGAAGATGGAAGACTCAATATAAAATTTTTAACATAATAAAAAAGAAAGTCATGGGAAGAACGAACTCGAAAAATTGCATAATTTCAAGCTATTGTAGTTCAAATAACTGTCAGCGTTACAGTTAAAATAGTTCGAAAGAAGTGTTGGCTCTACTAAATAAATATAACCTGTAATATAAAGGCAAAGAAAATTCATATATAATTAAAAATTTCTTTATAATAAGCGTTTCGTTTCAGCAAGAAAAAGAAAAGCAAGGAACTGTGCATTAGTTTTTTTTTTTTTTGATTTTCTAGTGAATTTGTGATTCGAAAAATCGATTGACGTTAGAAATATAATTGAACATTCACTAATGCTGCCACTTATTGTAAGTAGGATACACTTACTGTAAGTAGGATACACTTACTGTAAGTGGGATACACTTACTTAAGTAGGATACACTTACTGTAAGTAGGATACACTTACTGTAAGTAGGATACACTTACTGTAAGTAGGATACACTTACTGTAAGTAGGATACACTTACTGTGAGTAGGATACACTTACTGTGAGTAGGATACACTTACTGTAAGTAGGATACACTTACTGTAAGTAGGATACACTTACTGTAAGTAGGATACACTTACTGTAAGTAGGATACACTTACTGTACGTAGGATACCCTTACTGTACGTAGGATACCCTTACTGTACGTAGGATACCTTTACTGTAAGTGGATACACTTACTGTAAGTGGATACACTTACTGTAAGTAGGATACACTTACTGTGAGTAGGATACACTTACTGTGAGTAGGATACACTTACTGTAAGTAGGATACACTTACTGTTCGCATTTCTCTGAGTGCAGACAAAAAAAAAAGCACTCCGCCAGTCTTCTGACGTTGGAATAACGTCGAGTAAGCGATATTTAATCAATATAAACTCGTAGGCAACGTTGCTTCAAAGTAATTAACTTAGAAGACTGACGAAGCTTTTAATTAGATAATTAATGTTAATTAGAAAATAAATTTAACAAATTAAGTCAACAAACTTTTCTGTTGATTCTATTTTCCTAACCCTGATGGATGACAGGTGACTTAGAGTATGATAGCGGAATGGTTTTTCAGTGAAGAATTCATGTTTTTTCTACTTTGAAATTTCCAAGCCTACGACAATTTTACAGACTCGAGTTTCATATTATGGACTTTATTAGTAACGCTTACCAAATTGTTACTAAATTATGGAGCATGGTAAAATGAAGTGCAAACTTCTACGAACAAATGCGAGCTGGAATTCCTGATCAATTAAAATCAACATCAAAATAGAATTTTTTTTAAATTAGAACAAATTGTATGTTTATTCACATTTGTGAGCTAATTCTACTCAAAGATACGAAACGAGTTGAAAAATTGCATTTGATTTGATAAATTGTCAATTAATTTTCAATCATGTGTATTGATTCTACTCATGGTTGCGAACAATAGCTAAATAAGGACTGTGTTACTGAACTGAACCTTCTTATCGAGTTTAATTATAGCAATAAGTGATAGTGGTTGAGCGCAAGTGTATAGAAGCGAAAAAATCTCCATCTGAAAAGTTTAGCTTGTGCTATGCAGATTTAATATGAATTGTCTTAAGAAAATCTGTATGATTTTCCATTATACATTAAAATATTTATTCTATCGAAATTCTCAGAACGCAAATGTAGAAAAGATATTAACAAGAAAAAAAATTTTAGGTACATGACGAAGTTATAAAATAAAAACCAACGTTATGATTCAATTAAATGCACGCGAAATAAAATTGAAATAAACAATGTACATAAAAAGTGAGACATAACTGCAAAAATCTGATCTGCGCGCCAAGTGTTGTATAGCGCCAAAATTGTGTAAACTTAAAATTTGTTTCAAGTTTACATTTGTGCAACTGTGTTGCTCATTTGTGCAACTGTGTGACTCATTTGTGCAACTGTGTTACTCATTTGTGCAACTGTGTTGCTTATTTGTGCAACTGTGTTAAACATTTGTGCAACTGTGTTACTCATTTGTGCAACTGTGTTACACATTTGTGCAACTGTGTTACTCATTTGTGCAACTGGGTTACTCATTTGTGCAACTGGGTTACTCATTTGTGCAACTGTGGTGCTCATTTGCGCAACTTTGGTGCACATTTGTGCAACTGTGTGGCTCATTTGTGCAACTGTGTTGCTCATTTGTGCAACTGTGTTGCTCATTTGTGCAACTGTGGTGCTCATTTGCGCAACTTTGGTGCACATTTGTGCAACTGTGTGGCTCATTCGTGCAACTGTGTGGCTCATTTGTGCAACTGTGTTGCTCATTTGTGCAACTGTGTTGCTCATTTGTGCAACTGTGTTACACATTTGTGCAAACGTTGCTCATTTGTGCAACTGTGGTGCTCTTTGTGCAACTGTGTTGCTCATTTGTGCAACTGTGTTGCTCATTTGTGCAACTGTGTTGCTCATTTGTGCAACTGTGTTGCTCATTTGTGCAACTGTGTTGCTCATTTGTGCAACTGTGGTGCTCATTTGTGCAACTGTGGTGCTCATTTGTGCAACTGTGGTGCTCATTTGTGCAACTGTGGTGCTCATTTGTGCAACTG